TATACAAATGTGTTAGATACTTTGGTTTTTATAACATTTAATGAGTTTACCATGGCGATAATGACTTCTTTTTTTTCAAATAAGAATCACTTATTTTCAATGTAAAATATTAAGTTCGTGTTTTTTTTTTTTTAAATGCATCAGCAACTACTTCAAAATTTAAACGATTAGTTTCTGAGTTATTAAACCTTATGTACTATAGGAATAATAATCCTCAATAACGATTGTACATAAAAATATATTAATATAATATGTAATATTGAGTCTAGTATAATAAGACGTATAATTCTTATTATGCTCATAGAATTTTTACAAACATTAAATCCTAATATATTAATATTTAATATTAATTGTTATAATTTAGAAATCATCATGCCTTTAAACTTGAAATCATGTATCATTATCTATATATAATAGATAGGTACATAAAGTTTAATAATCCTGAAACTATTCGTTCTAATTTCGATGTATATATTGTACTCATAATTAGGTACATCAGTAATTTAAAAAAAAATTATCTGTTTACAATTTGCTGTAAAAAAAAATGTTTCATTTGAAAAAAAAAATAGTATTTATTTTATTAATATGATACTGCTTATATTGTAGAACATATCCAAGTATTTTAAAAGTAAGTATTTTAGTATACTTCAAAATTCCTCTAAAATCAGACTTTAAATAAATATTACTAAACTATTACAAAAAAAATTGGGGTGAGCATGCTTATTAAATCATTCTGTATGTATAGTTTCTATAGCATGCTAGCTATCTAACCCGGCCTTGCCCGAGACAAAATGTTGTTTATTTTTATAAATATATTTGTAATAGGTATTTTATGATTGATTTATTATTTAAACTATAGCTTTTGTTGAATGTAAATTTTTCATTAAGATATATAATTATTTTATACAAAAGTCGTTAAAAAAATTGACTTAATCCACCTATGTCCTACATAATATTACAAACTACAGAATTAACTATTGTAAGCATTATTTTGCTTTGGCTTTATAAAATTTAAAAAGGTTGACATTAAAAATGATTTTTTAATATATACATAATAATGTTCTAAACCATGTAATTTTAAAATGGCTGAATATGATATAATCTTTCATATTATAATATACGATAATATAATATTATGTTGCCTTTGAGCTTAAAACATCTTTGGTTCGTAACGAAAAATCACCTAATTAATTATGAATAACCTCTCAGTATATATTTTATATAATATAATATAATATAATATAATATACCTATAGATATTAGACGTATTATAATACAGTGAAACTTCCATATAACGAACTTCCATTTAACGAAATTTTATGTTTAACGAAATATTTTTAAGAACTATGACTTTCATTGTTAATTACACATATTTTGTATAATATATTGATATGGATAGGTATTATAGGTAAGAATTATTTATAAATACAATAAACATATGTTATTACTTATTATTAGTTCCGGTTATAACTTTATACTGTTTACAAAAAGAGCCACACACGACACATGTTTATCCATAGAAATTAGTTTAGTTAATAGTTATATAATTATAGTATCGTTGTTGGGTGAAAGGGACAGGATTGAGATCGGATTCGATTCATAAACAAACTAAAAAAATTTGTTGAACAGCTTGACAATGTATTATTGTATTCAATAATGCAAGTGTTTAGGTATTGACTGTTTAGTATTTACATAAATATCGTTACAAGCCATAAGGTTCTAATATACATTATACACGATCAAACATTTGTGCTGAGGTTTTCATAAAAGGCCAGTATACGTATAGATTTCAAGGCCCGAATTTATATGATTATATCCCAATCTGTCCCTGGCTGAGGATAGTGGTTTTAAATTAATAATCCACGTATTTATAGTGCCTTTAATCTGTATAGTAGTATTCTAAATTTTTAATGATTTAAAATAACTGGAGTGTATTGTTTTGTAATTACCTATATGAAATAGAGATAAATTCAGAAAATTCGAATTGTATTAACAACGGAAGATAAATAGATAAATATTATACAAAGCATATAGCCCTTATAAGAAATGTTCAAATAATTTAAATTCGTCAGTTATATATTTTTACTTTATTTATTAAAAATATCGTATCATCACGGTAGAACGGATTTTATATATTAATCGAGATGCATGGCTTCGATAAATCTTTGTAAAATGTGTACACATAAAAATTTGATACTTGTATTAAAATATTATATACCAGATACCTACATAGTCACCTGAGTGAGTTATGGTACATTTACGTTTTCATTTTTCATTATCAATATATCATCTTAAAGACTTGAATGATAAGTCGGCTGTATGCCTATATCACATACTATTTTGATTTGTGGACAGAAATATTACACACATTATATGCTGATATATAATTTTGGAGATATTTAAATATAGGTAGGTACTATTGTATTATATACCTATTATAGGTATTTCGTGACTTATTGGAATGACTGAATGAGATGCTGTATATGACCTATATAAGGATTGAGAATAAATAATAGGTACCCATACAACACTTTTACTATGGTTATTTGGACGTTATAGTATAATATCATCTCGTGCATTATTGTGTGTTGAGTGTAGACAGCTGCGGATTAAGAATAACAATAAAGACGTTGAATAGATACTAAAATACCATTGTAAATTTGTATACCTACCACGATGAATGTGTCAAAGAAAATAATTACCAAATCGAATTCACTTCAACTCTCGTTGTGTGGAATCATCAAATTCAGAATAGCTATACCTATATTTGATACTTATAATTCCTTTATATACCTATCAGCTTGGTATATAATATATATGGGTTAGTTGGTTATAGGTTGACTGGTTTCATCGCGCTTCATTATTTAACCGTTATTATAGATTCATCTTATACACATAATCCTAATTGCCAAACACTGCATTATGGGTGGGAATTATTAAATAATATTTTATCTACCACGATGTATTTTATACGTAGGTAGGTATTTGAAAAACATTTAATTAGAAAAAAAAATTACCGGGGTTTAATTAAGCATTTTAAATAAGCTTTATTTAGAGTTCAACCTACACACATAATAGTTTGTACATATAATCGTATATAGTTGGTTATAATAATATTATTTGTAACGCGTTTTGATTCTGAAAGTTTTTCTCATAAATTGGATGAGGATTTTTACACGTCTTATTATTCACCTCATTTCTTGAAGTATAGTTTAGAATTTGTGATTTTAATATCAAACAACTACGATCTATAGTAGTATAAAGTTCCTAGAAAAATAATTTAAAAAAATATTTTATTTAGGAAACATTTTTAATCATTAATTTTAATTATTATTAATTAAGTATACTTTTGTCAAGCCATCGGGTAAGACAAAAAATGATATTCTTCTCAGCCAATATATTTTTAAATGTGAATAATATCATAATAAAAACGAAATCCATTGATTTACGAGTATAATCGTAATGGCTTGAGAAAATAAAACAATAAAATCATTTATATTTCACAGGTAGCTAAGCGTATATAGCAGCGTAGCACATACTTGCATTGCAATAGTCGTACGGTTAGACGTTCAAAGATTTACTAAATAAAGTGTTTGCGACTTTTGCAACATTTGAAATAATGCTGAAAATGTGTAGAAAATGTGTGGAAAATGTCAAAGAAAAATCGGGCACATTTTTCTTAGGCTAGGGTCTTTTACACGAAAATCTTGATTCCATTATTGTGCACTCCCGGGTCCCAGCCAACACTTTTGCAAAATGATTTGTACATGGCCATCATTCTGTTTCATTTGTTGATATTTTTCTGTATTATTTTTGAACTATATTTTCGTCGCTCATATCGTCAAATAAACATGATATAAGTAAAGCATATTAAATCATTCTTTTCTCCGACAGATCTTTTTACATTTGTCTCTGAAATATTATATGTTCTGCTTATTTGCATATGATTACTTATCAAGATATTATTGCAACAATATTTTCCGCAGTTCTGTTCAGCAATTTTGGGAATTGTTTGTATTGTCTTATTATTCCCTTAAAGTTCTATAATTCAGAGTACTTAACTGTTAACGCTTAAATATTGACAGCTAAAAAAACATGGGAGTATAGCACATTATAAGTATCTCGCTTGTATAATATAATTATAGTGGCTTATTAAACTGTTAAAATGGTTTCATCAATATTAATTTTATTTTTCCTCGATCATTTATAATATTTGAATTTACATAATATATTTTTTTTATTCATTCCTTCACTCACAAATTAAATTTTACTTAAATTATAAATCCATTTTATTTTAACTTTCAGCTGATCTTGTTAAGTTATCCAAAACCAATCTAAATAGTTAAATTATAATATTATTTATGTATGATTTTGAAATCGAATTATATTATTTTTTTTTTCATTTCTCTTATTTTTACCATTGATTTTATAATATATTTTTTATTATAAAATCAATGTTTTTATACTTAGCTTTTATTGAAGTGTTATATTTTATAACAACTAAAAAGTCATTAAAACTATAAAGTTGTAATTTTTCTTTTGGTACTTATCGTTTTGTTTAATAAAAAAAAGCTAAGTTAAAAATTTGAATATAAATGAAAAAATATTTATCTTTTATTATTAGCTCATTAATATGTACTCGAATTAATATATATTGCTAGCAATTATGTTGATGAGTTGTATCATTAGAACTGTAAACAAAATCAAATATAAATCTAAAATGATTGATGTGAACGTTTTATAGTTTTATGTTTTAATGCCTCAAATTAATGTACCTTTTATATAATAGTATAATACTATAAAATACTATGTAATAAAATATAAATGTATTTATTGTGTTTATAATATTATTGTCGATTAACACATTAGATACCTTGACCTTTGTTGCTTGACCTTTACCGTTTTGACAATTTTTCATCTATCAAACTAAATAATAACATAATAGAAATATGCATTTTTCTACTGTTGTACTAATACATTACTTTTTTTTCATCCACTAGCCATATCACAAAAACCACCAGTTACGAAGATCCCAGAAACGATTTGGTGGAGGAGAGCCCAAAACCTAGATTGGTTACTTTAAAAAGACATTCCGAACTAGGATTTGGATTCGTAGCTGGCAGTGAAAAACCCGTTATAGTTAGGTAAGTTTGTTTATATTCAGTTACTAGATTACTATAAGTATAGCTACCTACTCTTAATACTTATAGATAGTTAATTAATAGATGTATCTATGCACTATTAGGTATATACTTATAAAGTATAATTTTATAAAATCTAAAACAAATATTTAAGGATTATGGCATTAAACATGTTGGCATTACCAAATATTTATATTAGTATTTCCTGTATAAATATTAGAAAATATTTAGGAATATTTTTTCTCAAGAGCTTTTTATTTTTTAATTATGACGTAATTGAACATTTATACAAAAAATAAAATTTTTTCTATAACTGTTTCATATATTTTGAGGTTATTAAAAAAAAATGGTATCGTAAAAACCTGAAACTTTTCACTATTACCCTTATATACCTACGTATTACTATTTTTTTATATACAGAGGTATTTAAAATGATTCGTCTAATTTTAAATGATTACCTATATATATTTTCAGTTTTTAAGTTTAGAGAATATTATAGAATTTATCTAATTATAAAAGTAATATTATATACATTAAAAAAAATAATAATATTAAACAAATATTTAGTGGTACCTATAAAAGTTCTATGTGGCTTTCCTGGGTGACAACTCACAAGAAGAACATCTAATCGGAACTCAAATTCATTCTATACATATCCGTTGTAATTAGCTCCACTAATTTTGTAGCTCCTCTGTAGTATTGATAATGATGGTAGTACGCACACAGTACCTATCTTTAAAATATCCCCAAAAGAAGTAGTATAGATCAGGTAAACTAGGGAATCAGATGTAAAGCCTATTCATTTTGAATAATTCTGTACATTGGTACGTCCAAATATTAAGTCTAGTTTTAGGCTATTTTATCCCGAACGACCCCATTCATACCATTTTATGGTGTTGATTGATAATAAGTTATACCTGATATTTTGGCAACAATTATTTCAACTTACTGAAACAATAAAATACTAATAATAGTATATAGACAAAAGAAATAGATGATAATCCCTGCAGCAGACCCCACCCACCTCCATCTGTTACGACCGTCGTAGTTTCGTACACACAATTGTTTATCATTGAATTCAAATTTCACACATCCATTAAAGTGACGAGACACACTGGAGAAACCTTGCCGAAAGACTAGTTCCTCGGGATTTTTTTTTTTCACTTCAATGGTTTCGGCGACGTTCAATTCATCTTCGGATTTCCCGTCGGCACACGATTTTCCTCTCGCACCCGTCACGTACAAATAACCAGTCATCTCGGTCCTAATGCGTTTTCTAGTTCCATCGTATTATAGGCGTGTGCAGTGTTATGTATATACCTCCTACTACATATTTACCTCCATGCGTTCGGTATACATACGCACGCGAATGTTATATTATCATAACGAAAAATCCATCCGACCGTTTATAACGACGACAAATAAGATGCACGTCGTCGTATTGTGCATTGGTGTGTGTGTGTCATAAAATATAAATACAGTTTCATCGTGTGTGCGAGGTGTATATAGCTCAACCGCGATCTAAGTGTGTTTTTTTATGGACATTTCACTCCACAATCACGAAACGTCGTCTACCCGCAGTACCATCCACCTACCGCGCACGCGCGCTCGCTTGCAGATGTGTGTATAATATGTACAGTGTATACATAGGTACACATTATATTATATACACATTATAATAATAATAATAATTGACTTGATGAAGAAAATAAATGAAATATAAAAATAAACAGTGCACACGGATTTATATGCGATGGATGAGCTTGACGTATATATGCTATATAATAATATATATATAGATTTGGGCTCCATCTCACCACGCGTCACGAACGTATAGGTACGTCAAAAACCTTCGGCTTACTTATTTTTATTTTTTATCATATCGAAAGCAGAACATAATTTTTCCGTAAAGGTCGCGTGTGTCTTCGCATTTTTCTCGGGGTTTCTTTTTGACTCGATTTGTCACCCCACACCTCCATCACGACAACCGTAATCACCCCCAACACACAACCGCACATACGCGCACGCAAAAATGTCTACGCCCCGGACGTATTATTATACTCCGACCCACCTATAATACGGACCATACCAACTACCATACCTGTCTACCTACCCATACTTTCATTATCTCGATTCCGCAGACGTTCTCGGCGAGAGGAGCGTGCTTTGACAGTATCCCTGAAGACCGATTTATATTTTTGCTTTCCGCGACGTTCCGCGTTTGCACACTGCCTGGTTATCAGCCACACACGAGTCCACCTCTCCTCTCCTCTCTCTCTCTCTCTCACTCGTATAATATAATATACACACGCGATTGCACACATCGCTGGTCGTCCCGAAAGGGTCACCGTGGTCGCACGTGAATAAAGCGGATATAATAATTATTATCATATTGGATTATAACAAAAAATTATTATTCACGTTATAGGCACCGAAAATAATTGAACAACATGACAGTAATATATTATAAACGCCAAACTAATCGGCTTCAACGTGGTCATTAAAATAACGATGGGTGGAAGAGGGGGGGGACAGAAGGGAATATCAATATTTTTATTATAATTTATTATTATTGTGCCCTGATCCGAACTCTCGGTCGAAAAACGTGTAGCTATATAAATTATATAAATATAGCGGTACCCTTGTACCTATAGTCTTTAGAGTACCTATAATACTATATAATACTATAATAGTAGGTATAGGTAAGTATTATAAGTTATAACGTACATAACGAATGGAACAGATGATATCGAATTACGATTGCTTTCGCGTATACATCATCGTGTTCGTCGATGTAATAACATTTTATCGAGACGGTCTGCACAAAAACGCCATCATACACGCTGCAGCAACGACCTCTATTATTAGTTATTATTATTGTTATTATTATTACTATTATTGTTTTTTGTTATCATTCTCATAGAAACGTCTATAAACTCGAAACAAAAGGATTTAAGTGCATTCTATTCTACAGTGCGTCGTCCTTTATATATTATATGAATCTTATCTCTCCGAAACTCTTACATAAGGCGTGTAATGGACGAATTGAACTGAGGGAGTACAATGTATAAATATTACTGTATTGGGTACCTATAAGTTTTCCATATACACTTTCCAGACAGTCATTATATATAAGAACTTAAAAAAAACTACAATAATCGGATGAGGGAGATAATTTTTGATGTGCACGAAATCCGTGAAACAAGATTTTGATTTTATTGTCTTATAGGGTATACGTCGTTATATATAAATACCTAAGTTGTATTATTCGTAGGTACACTTATGTCTCTCACACATTCCAAAACCGTATTATTGCTGTTTAAAAATGTATAAAATGAAAATACACATACGCACACACAACAGTATAAATTGCTGTACCTAAATAATACAATTATTGACTTGATGCGCAGAATAACATTTTATTAAACAAGAACTCCATCAATAAACTGTATACTATATAACACTATTGATAATCAGCTTATTTAATTAATTTAAGTGAAATAAATAATAAATTAGAAATTACCTAAATTATATAATTGTAGGTACATAATATAATATATAGCTAGATAATTATAAAAACAAAATACAATTTGTCAAAGGTTTAAAGTTGTACTCAATATAATATCGGTTGTCAACAACGTTTTTATATGCTCTTCACTCGAATTTTAATTTCAAAACGCTACGTAATAAATTAATTAATGATTAAAATGTATAGGTACTTTTATATTATACAAAATATTATAATATAATATAATCTAATTAATTTAAAACGTGCATATTTTATACAGACATTCTCTGCGACGTAATATTTATGTATACCTGCTTTGTGTAAGGGTGTATAATAATAATATCCTAAGTAAAGTAATGCAGATTGTGCGATTTTTGCATAATACAAATAATAATAATAAACGTATATTAAATATGTGTATACTTATACATAGTACTGACGGTTATTACTTATTATACGAATGTTATAGTATGCTGTGCAGTATGCATTATTATAATATGCGCACAAAGATGTTATAATATACTGTGCAAACAATATTTCAAAAATATTTTAGTGTATATCTTACGGAATTTCTACTGCGGGGTGAAATCATTGCTGCGTGGCTCTTGCAAAAACGCGAAAATGATATAACAATATTATATTGCGCATTACCATGATAATGACGTATTATTATAATATTTTAATCCACCTCAGCGATAAGTAAACGACGTAAAAATTATTATATTTCGGACGCGCACAGATCCAAAATACACCCCCCCCCCCCCGCACGAAAATTTTGGAGAGCGCGTGGGAGGAAATCGTTTTCGATTAAACACAAAACTACCTACACAGATGCGATAGGTATTATATATTGTGTATTAATCAATTTTTTAGTTTTTATTCGTCATATGGATGGACGCGAGCGCTAAAATATTAATTTCGAATAAAAAAAAATGTCGTCGCATTTCGCAATGTGCTGTGCCGCGAGGGTGGTGCGCTCCCCCCCCCCCCCAACACACACGCGACACTGAAATTCGCGTCCCTCGTATTTAGTCGAGATATCTATAATATAGATATCTCTTCGATATAATACGAAAATAAATATCGTGGGATGACTGAGGTCTTTGTTTTTATACATTACAATAATATTATTATTGTCGCCCGGCTTGCACAGATATAGGTAGGTACTCGAATAGAGAGGTATTATGGAGAATATTTTTAGGAATAATACACGTATCCGAGGTGCGTATGTCGTCGTTGCGTATATATTACAACCATCGAACGGTATTATTGTTCACGTTAAACGTAAATAATTTATATTTTTTTCCAAATGGAAAACGTCGGTACACGGTAATGGTTTGTAAAAGTCTTCGTAAAGGTTTCGAATACATTTGTTCGGCTTTATCTATATATACAACGCACATATATTATCTCAACGCTCGTACCCTCCTATATGTATTATATAGGTATTTGTATGTATATTTGTATGAATGTTTATTGTACCTATATATGTGTA